AGAAAAAACGATCTTGCCCGGGATTGTGTAAACTTTCCGGTCTTAAGTAGCAACATCCATTGTTCTCTGCAGAACTTGCATCTCATCTTGCAAAAAGGTTGATAGTTAGCATCTAAATGTCGTCATTTGTTATAGATCCCTGGAACATCTATAACCTTTACCCTATGTACATCCGATCACGTGGTGGAAATTCCCCACTAAAACGGATAAAAGGCCGTTCTTACCCCCTCTCAGGGGAGTCTATTACCGAACGCAGGATTAACAATATCGCGCCGATCTTCCGAACCAGCCGAATTCCGATCTCTAATGAACCTCGAATTAAATGAGCGCTTAAGTCGCGATTTTATATAATTTGTGCCGTATTTGTGGATTATTCCTTGGATCGATATTTTAAAGGCATCCACGTTCAGAATCGTCAAAGTGGACGGCTATAAGAGGTATGAAAGCACTGTGAAACACTCTCTGTCGTATAGAAACTTTAGGTCGGTATAGAGCTTTGTGTAGTTTTTGTCATTTTGCCTATTCTTAATAAATTGTTATTTTATATTTGTTAAAATAATGGTAGACTCTTTTACTCGATCTCGCCCTTCACCTTATCGTCGACCCCAATCACCTCTCTTTACACTCGCCTGACATTATCATCCTGACAATTGAACGGGAGCCTTACGCCCCCGTATTCACATTAGGAACCATGAAATAAATTTGATAAAAAACTCCCATTAAAAACAATTAAGCCTTTATCGAGCCTTATCAAAGGCACATTAAAATCGCGAAAAAATTTTTTCGCGAAGACAAAAAATTTTGAAAAAATTTGGGTACCTAAAAAACATTCCAAAAATTGAAAAAAAAAATTTGTCAAAAGTGGCCTTAACTACCGAATTTTACGTATTTTGTTACTAAAAATAATATTTTTGAAAATTTTGTAGAAAAAAAAACTGTTACATATTTAGCTAGACAGTTTTTAAATTGCAAAGTTTTCTTACAATTTAATGACCAATGTAACCACCATTTAATTTAATTACATTAAATACTCAATTAGTCATGATTTCAATTAGATTTTGAAGGAATTCAATTTTAAGTTTATCCCAAGCATTTGAAATTGCTCCCTTCAAATTAATGAATTGTGGAAAACTGCTTTCCATTGGCGTAAACTGTATGAACCATCATCCCCCAAAGATTCTCCATCAGATTCAGGTCAGGGCTTCTAGCAGGCCATATCATCAGATTAATATTTTTACGTTTAAACCACATTCTTGTTGATTTAGAGACATGCACAGGGGCATTGTTTGTTGAAAGATCCAATTTGGTCCAGCTTTCAATAAATGATCTTCAAGCATAACTTGATATTTCCCTGAATTCATTATTTCAGTTATAAATGCTAAATCTGTGGTTCTATTGAATCCAAACGCACCACACACCATTATTGATCCCTCACCCATTTGGCATTTTGAAAATTTTTTTTTTTCGATTCTTAAATCGCGCCAATAATACTTCCAACTGTCTGGACTATCTAAGTTGAATTTTTTTTCGTTACTGAACAAAACTTCAATCTATTCTTTGGACCATGTCATGTGTTTTTGTGCCAATCAAGTCTTTCACTTTTGTGCTTTAATGAAAGTGGTGGCATTACAGCTTTTTCTCTGAATTTTAACATTGGAGAATTATTTAAAACTCTCCACACTGTTGTGCTGCTACAAGGAAAGTCTAATTCTTGCTTTATTCTTTTTACTGATGTGTGTTACGTAGATCAAACCTTGATGATTTGTCTGCAATGTCGAGGTGTAAGCTTGGGTTTTGGACATGTCTTGAATTTTGGTACGTCTTTTTGATAAATAATCACCAACAGTTGATTTTGGACGATTTATATATGCTGCAATTTCTCTTATTCACTTGCATTGTGATTTATAGACATCAATCTGCCGTTTTTTCATAATCAGATAAATTCTTTGTTATATCCATTTTAGAACTTTAAACAACATAAACAATTTGCATTACAATTACATATGTAAGCTAATTTGCATATTTAAATGCTTGAAACTTAACAATATTCTATTTAAGTCATCAAATGAGTTACTGTCCAGGAAAATATGTAACAGTTTTTTTGTATAAAATTTTCAAAAATATTATCTTCAGTTTAATAAAAGTAAAACATCTGGATACGAATCCAATTTTTATTGCCATGTCCAATCACCAGGAACAACTATTTCTATTGCAGAGACAACCTTTCTTTAGAGGCTATGCCTCTGCACAAATATGTAAAACAGTTTCAAATGTTTACAGGTGACAATCCCAACACAATTAAAAATATAATATTTGTTTGTAGAAAAGGGCTGGCACAATTACAATTTAATAAAAAGTAAAATATCTGGATACGAGTACGAGTCCAATTTTTTTTGCCATGTATAATCGCCAGGAACCTGTTTTACATATTTGTGCAGGGGCATAGCCTCTAAAGAAAGGTTGTCTCTGCAATGGAAATAGTTGTTCTTGGTGATTAGACATGGCAAGAAAAATTGGACTCGTATCCAGATGTTTTACTTTTTATTAAATTGTAATTCTGCCAGCCCTTTTCTACAAACAAAAATTATTCGCAGTGACAACATGTTAATGTTCGATTAAAATTCTTATTTTGCAGTTTGGAAACATGTAAATCCATATTATTTTTAATAAAACATTTGTCACTTAATGCAGCAAATTTAGATTTCACTTTAACTTATGTCTGTATAAATTTGAAACACACCTTAAAGTGACTTCAAATGGACGCTAGACCAAACTATAACGCCTTTACTGCTGTGCCATTTGACTCCCAGTTCGAAACAGTTGTATTATTTTAGACAAAATAATAGAATGTAACAAACAATCTTACAATATATTATAATTAATTTAATATTCGGTTTAATTTGATAAAAATTATATAGTAAATATCAAATAACCGTTTAATTCACACTTTTACTAATACATTCGTGTTAATGTGTATTTGTTGTTTGTATTTAGTTTATATGAACGAAATATAAATATTCTTTATGACTTGCATTTTTTTGTGATATAAAAATTTGTATGTGTCTTTCCAGAACTTTCAATCATAAATTGCAATTTTATTTGAGTTTTCACATTTGTTGGCAAATATTCATGAAATTAAAAAACAAACAAATTAAAAACAGTCTCATTGCAAAATATCTAAACCATTTTATTTAATTAATCAATGAAATCACAACAATTTGATAATTTTAAACAATTTTCCTTCATTCCAGTATAAGCTTTGGTTATTCTGAAAATGAAAAAGTAACATTTATTAGAACTCTTATATCAAGAAACAAAATTTCATGAGTATTCGTTTTTCATAATTAATTAATAATAGAAAATTTTACTAAAATTGTTAAGATGATCATTAAATGTTTTAATATTTAACCTTAACCCTTCCTCGATTGCAAAATTTGTTGATTGACTGCACTTTGGTCACATAGCCATAGCTTTTCACAAAATTTATTTTTTTTCATAACATCGTAATATTATTGGTTTTCCTTCAAAAATAATTATTACATCTTTTTTTTTCTTTATTGTCTTTACTTTTAAACAGTGTAAAATATATTTAAATCGACACAAATGCTTTATTTGCATTGATTTTAATGTAATTTGATACGAAAAACGCAAAAAATAAACATATCAATTTACAACTCGCCATAATTTATCTCCTGTTTTACAGATTGCCATCGGGTTTGTTTGTAAGGAAAAGAAATATAACACTTTAAAGTGAAGTAAGTAGAAGTTTCGCACTACTGCAAGAAAATTTCTCAACAGACTCTGCCTTACCCCCTACCGCAAAAGTCAATAAACGTTAATTGTTTTATGATTCACTTCAAACACTTCTTTCTGAGTTGTAAATCGACTAATTGACAAAGTTTTTACTTCATTTTACTCATAAAAACGCACTTTTTAAGATTTAACAGATAGTTTTTTTTAAATTAATATATAAAGATCTTAAAAGATCTTTATACATTAATTTTATTTTTAATTTTTAATGTGATATAGTCGTGTGTTAAGCTTAAATCGAGCACCTAATATAAAAATGGATATCGCATAAAATATTAACCATCAAAACTTCTTTGTTGATAGTTTAGATATAAACTATCAACAAAGTTTACATCTAAACTAATGTTTTCCATGCATGAAATGAAGAAATAAACAACATAATGGGTGGACCATCAAAAATTTGGCTATTTATGACTTGATGTCAAATGCGCAAAATCTTTTATTTATAAATTAAAATATTCTGGAAATTTCATCAAAAAATGCATTTGCGACAATACCTAAATAAAATTGTTACACAAGAAACAAAAATTGTGCAATTAGCGCAATTTGTATTAACGTAATTAATTTTGAAAATTTTTGTCACTGCTATTTCTCGCAAGACACAACGCGATTTCTCGCAGAGTATAATAAGATTCAGCTGAGTGTAATAATAAATTGCGATATCTCGCTTCAAAAACGGGTTAAAATCGGTTTATTTCTTCAAATATAAGAAATTATTAAAAGAAAAGTATTGACAGCGAAAAAGACGATCGCGATGGTCGCGATCAACGATAGCGATTATCTCGAGCGTATTTTTAAGCCGAATTTTTCTTACCCGAAAGATCGCCCGGAGTCTGTGAGATTCCGGCACTTTCTCAACTTATTCTTGCGAGTAAACGCGGCACGAACCAAAAACGTTATTTATTGAATTATTGCAACTCGTAAAAATCAAAAAATTGGATTTTTTTAAATTTTTTGAAAAATTTCGAAAAAATGCTGCTGAAAAAACTGCCACCAGGCGTCTGATAGACATCTGGTGATCACGTAAGAATTAAACTAAATCACTTAAAGGTCAAACCGTAATTTACATAAAGTGAACGAGACAAATCAGTACAGTCGACCCCCCTATACTTACGGTCCCAATAATTACGATTCCTATAAAACTGCGAAAAAATTGTGATGGTATCCGTAAAAAACAGTAAAAAACCCCTATAATTACGTTAAACGTCATAGGGCAACCGAACTACTTTTCCGCCGTCCGTAGCGCCACGCTACGGAGATTTTTACGCTAACTATCGTCTGTAGAGTATGTAAATTAGGTAGTGTAAGTCTAATACAGTACTGTAATTTTATACATTTCTTGTAAAAGAAACATTTCTTATTCTACGGCGATTAAAATTATTTATATTAATGATGTCTCCGAAGTTCAAGGAACTATTCGCAGAAAAATAAGTTATTAGAAATCGGCCGCGCTTTGCTGAGCTGTTCTGCGACGAAAACAAGCTTGAGCAATGGCGATGTCGAATGGTGACACTCGGTAAGTAATCCTACAATTTTTTGTTTATAGCGTAGTTTATACGGATTATTTCCAAAACATATATACGTATTTCGGAAATGTTGTGTCGGATTAGTCTAGAATCGATTAATTTTATGGAAGAAAATCTTTCAAACAGCCGTAGTCCGTAAACTTGACACGTGTCGGGTTGTGATTGGAAGGATTCGTAAGAAA